GCAGAAAATCATAGTTAAACATGGTGGAATCAAGGTTAACGGAGGATATTCAAACACACAAGACGATTGTCAAATTATGTGAGATCTTTCTTATAGTAAGCAGTTGAACTTTCTCAGAAATTAGCATAGCTTACTTGAAATCATGCGTATAGTTTTTTGTTTATGGTAAAATCTTTAGTCCTGATGGAACTGAAACGAAATTTTTCGCTATTCCAGTTCTCTATGTGAGACCCTTGATCTTCGCGAAATTCGAAGCCCATCGTCTGCCCTTTGCTTTTTTGGGCGGCTCGTTTACAGTTCTTTTTTTTCTGATATTTATAGCTTATTATATCTTACTTTGTTTGCGTTTGGCTTGAGCCGTTGTTATTACGAGTCGAGACATTTAAACTTTTGTAAATAAAATAAATTAAACCAATAAAAGAAACCTCTGAGAAACTGCAACTATCCAGTTATTACACGATGTTTTATCCAGATTTTATTTCGGAAACATGGTACAAAGGGGTGGAACTTTTGTAGCAGCACGAATTAGTATGATCAAGAAAAACTCAAACATGTTGTTGCAGTCTCGTACCCTCGAAAATTCAATAACTATCACTACTATAACCAACACTTTGTGCTCCATAACCATAAGTATAACTATCACTTTGTATTGTATAACTATATTCTTTTACATGCTCACCAGGTATAACATATGTGAAATGCATTCTGGATGAATTAAACTCATCGGTTTCTGGTTTAAGAATTTTCACACCATAATTATTTCCAGTGTTACCACCGGTTATATATTGTACATTAATTTCATTAGTTTTAAAATTTCGTATTTCACCATTAATTTGATATATTGTTCTTCTGTTTGTATATGATGTGTACGAATCTGTGCTTGATTTATTAACTCTACAATCTTGTTTCATAATAACTTCTTCTTCATATGTCACATCGGGATCTGTACCAAGAACAAAATCATATGAACTATTTGGATATATATCATATGGGAGCATTAATTCACCCAAAATGTTTTCATTTTCACGTATAATTATACTGCCTTTTCGTAAAAATTCGATGTTACTCAATAATTTACATGAACGTGC